AGTTCGAGCTACTTACTGACTTGAGCGTCTAAGATTTTGCCATCTTGTGCAGGTCTTCCCGTTGTGTTCCAAGTCAGAGCAAGGACTGAGTTCGAGCTTGACCAAGGTTTGACGTTGTGCAGTTCTTTGCACAAACATACTGTCAGACAATATTGTTTTTAATTTGTTTTTAAATATTACCATTCCCGACTATTTTTAGAAATAGTCGGGAGAAGTTTATAATATGTCCAATGTTTTTTAATAAAAGTTGGGAAAAGTGGACTTTACCCGATTATATTAATAAATTGCCAGACAATATTGTTTTTAATTTTTTTAAAATATTACAACTCCCACTATTTTGAGCAATAGTCGAGACTTCTCCCCACAAAATATATATATTTTTTAATTTTTGTGTGTGTGATCTGTTGATGTTACGGTCATATTGATATATTGATTACAAGAGAGGTAGTGGTAGAATACTCATAATCAATATCACCTATGTAAGAGTAGGATTCTATGAGAATTTTTCGAATGGCTTATGTTCGCTAAAGCTCTCATGAATTCAGGATCTTGTCTAGGACCAAAACGGACACAACCATATAGAACTCAAAGATGCAAAATAAGTTATGTGTAATATTTGTTGTTTCAATATATCACGAGAAAGATAATTCTAGAGCTAGTTCTCACTATTTCTTCGATAAATTCGATAGATATTCACTAAGGAAGATTTAAGTCCAAAAGATACCTCTCCTGATGCATAACTTATCCACTCTATGTCTTGGTTTTTGTTTTGTCTGTCTCACTTTCTTTCACGTGGGGGATTTTTGGATTTTTAATGTGTGAAAGAAAGTAGAATTTGAAAATAGTGACAAACAATTGAATATTACAAATTTAATATCTAGAATTAAATTTCTAACTATTAATTCACATATACATTGTGAATTTTATTTTTTATTTTGTTTATCAAATTTTTATGTATTTATTTAGTTGTTATGTTTCTTTATTTTATTAAAATTAAAGTTATATCTTTAAATAAGGGATTATTTCTTTATTTTGTTAAAGTTACGTATGTGTAAAGTTAAAAAATTCATTTGTGAGGAGTTACCTAATTGTGCAACTATATATAGTTGTAGTTTTCTCATTTGAGATATGGAAGTATTCTCATTTGAGTTTCTCCTCCTCTCAAAGATTTTTATTATTATTTATTTATTTATTTATTTTTGTTCTTGTTTGTGTTGGGATCAAGTATCTAAAAGTTATGTTAGATCTGAGTAGTTCGAGGTTCCTATTCTATAGGAATTAGTCGTTGTATCCTCCTGAGACGATCGCTGTAGTCTGCTAACAACTTGTGTAGAATGAATAATTGTCTTCAGGTCAGCGCTATTGAAACATACCTCGACTATATTTATCAAATTTTAGTGTTCACCAAGTTGTCAGTATCTGTATTGTTTGTAGCCAGTTACGTTCTAAATTGTTTGCCACTGTTATTCTGTTTACATACAGTGTATATTTACCCAACATTAGACCGATGCAACACAAGATCTTTGATAAAATATATGTCTAATTCACATGACTTAAATGTACAGTTATAACTCTTGGTTTCAAGAGTATAGTTTCATTCTAGCATATTTCTTCCCATATTTGAGTGATTTGATTTACGAAATATGAGATGTTTATTAAAAAAATGCATAAAATGGGTTCAACAATACATAAATGTCATTTTGGATGAAAAATGTGGTAATTTCTAAACATTTATGGGATTAGTTGTGCTTGTATTCGTCTTTTGTTCTTCATTACAAAAGCTTGTTAGCATCATTAGGCGTCAACAAAAGTCAAATTTGTTAGCTGAATCTCAGCTAACCTAAAGATATATTCCAGAGGAGTCAAAATTGTTCGAAAAGAAGCTCCAAAGCTTCAAATTTATGAACCCTAGAACTCTTTTTCGATCTTTTGGGCTATATTCCTCTTGGGATCGGTGATAATTGTTGGGGGCTTAATCGTCCCTTAATTTTTGGGCAACGGACATCGAGTAAAAATTCGCGTAAAAAGAAGCTACTGTGTTGCCCTAAAGTTCCTGAGAACTGATGCTCCAGCACTGGGCGCTCTAACATCAATTCCTGGCTCAACTGCTCTATATCTGATGCTCCAAAAATTCTTGCATGGAAGATCAGAGGGAACAAGAACTAAGCCGTATATTTTGAATTAATTAAAAAACAAAGACTAAGGGACGATTTTCATATTTCTTTTCTTTATCACAACTTAGCACGATATTACGACCACGACCCTCACAAATATGCTCAAATAAAGCCAAATTTCTATTAAAATAACTCTCTTTCAGGAGGTTTTTTTTTTTTAACTCTTTCGAGGAGTTATTAGCACACGTGCAGAGGCATGATATTTGTATTTTAGTCGATCTATTCCTCGTATAAAATCCCAAGTTATATTTTGTTATATGAGTATATGAATATCCCATCAAAAATGGAATGAAAAAACCACGTCATGACTTCAAAGTTTGTGAGGTTTTGACTTAGATGGATTCTTCATCACCCATCTCATTGATTGCATAAAAAAGGAGCTTTATTTTTGTGTTAAGCAGAAAGTTACATACTTGACCATGTTTAGAAATGGTTCTAACAAATGTATCATAATTAGAATATGTGAAGACGCGCCAATGGCGCGCGAAGCGCATGCAGTGGGGTGATGGGGATTCTTATTTTCCCCATCCCGAAAATGATAAAACAAAGATATGAAAAAGAAAGGTCAACCCGCTTCGCTCGGTGGGCCTTCCTACGCTGACGAATGCCTCCTTTCCTTTCTCTTCTCTTCAGTCTACAACAAACAAGTGGGAGAGGCAGGATTCGAACCTCCTTTGAAAAAAAAAGGAACTCGCTTAACTATAGGGACATCCTATGGCTTTTGTTAGCTATACTTACAAAGGATATGTGTAACGACAGTTTCATCGTGGTCGAAATGGGTTCGATTACACAAAAAGATGGTGAAATTCAAGGATATTCAACAAGGTAAATACCCACAAAATGTAAGCGCACAAGTTTTTCAAAGAGGTAAAGAAGTTAGAGTTTGAATACAACAAGAAGAAAGGGGTGAAATCTGACTCCAAGTTTAGTGGAAATGGTTATAAAGAAGAAAGGTAAATGAGAAAGTGGGGCAGTGCTTGAAAATCACGAAGAAATATTTCTCAAACTCGGCTCTTTTAACTGTGATGACAAAAAATCTTGTCCTTATCATCATTCAGAAATTGCAACTAATTATTAAAAAAAGAAAAGGTGTTTGTTTTTGCATTTCCCTCTCTTGATTATTAAACATTTAATGGTGGTGAGCACAATATTAACTTTCACAGGTAAGAAATCAAGTATTTTCTTGAGAAGAGGGTAAAATACTCGGATTGAAAAGGTAAACAAAAATGGATTAGTACATATATAGACCATTTATAGAATCTAATTACCACAGATGGGTTAAATATTTATAATTTACCCTTTGTTAAAATAGAGGCTTGATATCCATGTAAAATCTACCTAATTGCCCATTGTAATATATCCTTAATAAAAAAATAAAAAGAAATACGAAAAACGGAAAAATAAAAAGAATATTAAAAATACCATTCACATCTCATTCAAATTAATTCAAAATCTCTATCATTCACCTCCTACATACGATGAAACGATAAAATATTTCTCACATATTCTTCTTCCCCTCTCATCTTGTTCTAGCCGCCAACCTTGCTGAAGCTCAAGATATGTGGTTCGTTATTTAGAATCTTGAGGCGCTCTGTCCTGCAGATGACATGGACCTCTTGGATCGTTCTGAAGTCGTCATCACTGATGACCACATGGCAGATCTTGATGAAGTGTTTGTAGCCTGCGGGTTGTCGAATCATTGGACGACTGACCATACGGTGGAAATTGGGGTGGCGATCTCTCGAACCATGTGGAGCAGGCTTGGGTGGGTCCCGCGCGTGTGTGGTAAAATGCCATCCAACACCATGAACTATTATGATACCTCTTTCTGGAAATAGATTGCGGCATTGATTGAATTAGAGCCGTGGATTCAATCTAATAGAATGAAGTTAATATGGAGTAAATTTGGGTATTTTCAAGGTACATATTGTATATCTTAATAGTTGAGTATATACCATTAAAAGTTATATATTATATAATCTTTTGGAACAATATATGTTTATCCTATTATATAACGGTCGTTGGAATATATTATATAACTTAATAATTTAAAAAGAATGGCCACCGAAAAAAGATATGGGAGGAATTAAATTGAAATTAATCTTTGGCGGAAAATTAAGAAGGAAATTTTTTTGCCGGAAATAAAGAAAAAATAATCGAAAGAGCAATGAGAAAAATCAAATGTTTGGGGAGGAATCGGATGACCCTCAAATTCTTAATTTTTAATATTTTAATATATTCTATTTAATTAAGATATATTATCAAACGAGAAAATTAGAGAAATAAATGAGATGAAGTCCAATTTGAAAATCTAAATATGCCATATCTAATATCTATATAGAAAATTCAAAATTGTAAACATTTCATTAAAAATAAAATCTAAACATTTAAATAAAACACAAATCTTGTTAAATATAAAAAAAAAAAAAGACAAAGGAAGTGGATCTTAATATTAATAAAAAGATTAAATCTCGAAATCTTTTTTTTTTTATAAATAATTAAATCTCGAAATCTAAATTGGTAAAATTTCAAAACACACCCATTGGTAGAAAACAGTTTTCAAAACGAACAACGTAACAGGAAGGTTAGTGAAATTCAAGTTAAGATCCATTAATCCCTCGGGTCCATTAAGATCCATTAATCCCTTGGGCCCATTAAGATCCATTAATCGTTTGGGCCCTTAAGATCCATTAATCCCTTGGGCCCTTAAGATCCATTACTCCCTTGGGCCCATTAAGGTCCATAATCGCTTGGACCCATTAAGATCCAGCCCATTGATCCACAAAATTCCACTAGAAACTATAAATCAAAGAATCAATTTCAAAACGGCAGCAGAGAAGGGACGCGAAGAAACAAAGAATATGGGAGTCACAAAGGAGCAACTCGAATCTACTTTAAACTCTAAGCTCAATCCTCACCATCTGGTATGCTTCTTCTTCACGCTGATCCTCTAATTTCTTCTTCATCTTCTTCTTTTGATCGTTTAATTTCTGTTCCATCGCAGCATTTCCGGTTTAGTTTTTCTTCTTCTACTGTGTATTTTGCTGTGTTTAATTCTGATGATCCTGGGTCGTTGTGTTCTGTTCTGTTGGGGTTTTCCCTCTTTCAATTGTGCTTGAACTTTGTGGTTTAGAGCGAAAATTGGCATGCTGCTTTTGGTAGTTTTACTTCTCTGCTTTTGGTAGTTTTACTTCTCTAAGTCTCTCAATTTAGTTTGCTGCTTTGATTTGAAGGAGTTAAACTGAGAAGAGCTTTGGCATGTGATTATTTGAACTACTAAATCTCTTATGGTTCATTTATGGTTCAACTTCTCCTGTGGAAATTGAGATTTGAAGAGAAAACCAATTGGAAAGGTCATATTCGGATGAAAATGAAATTGATAAGTTGCCTGTGATTTGTTGTGCTTCGACTTGTGCATCTTCTGGAGTTTGATTGGTGGATCTGAACGCCTTAATGGAGTAATATCTAAGCTTCCATTTCACAGAATCACTGTCAAGTTAGCTAATAATTTCTTTGTTTTGTCCTCTAATTTTAGAAATGACTTTTTAATTATTGCTGAAATTTATGAAACAAGAACTAAGTTTTTGAAAACAACTTCTATTAAACCCATTTTATAACTATTTTATTTTTAGTTTTTTATTCGTAAGACATTTTTCTTTGTTATCTAATGTAATTTGAAAAGTGTTTTTTAAATTCTAGGCATATTTCAAAAGCATGTATTTATTTTTAGAATTTGACTAAAATTGCAAAAGTCTTGTTAAAAATTGAAAAACTACACAGAGAAAAAAAAACATAGGTATTAATAGTCTTCCTAGGTTAACTTTAATCAAAGAAAATTAAAAAACAAAATCATATAATGCAAGGACCTAGTTTTAAACTATCTAGAGACATTTAAAGGATGAAGAAATTGCTGACTGGGTGTTTCTCAACCAGCAGCTCTCTGCTGTCCATTTGTCCACAAGAGCTGACATCATGGTATGGAAATTAGAAGCTAATGGTATCTTTTCCACCAATTCCCCGCTTAAGGACTTAACATACCACAACCTGGATCCCTCACCCCATCTTGCTGACGTCATTTGGAAAGATTTCTACCCAAAAAAGGTGAAATTCTTTCTTTGGGAGCTCAGTTACCGTGCCATAAACACTAATGATAAACTTCAAAGAAGAATGCCACATATGGCTTTATCCCCCCAATGGTGCTCAATCTGCCAATCCAATTTGGAGACCCAACAACATCTTTTTGTCACATGTCCATATGCATCAGTTTTCTGGGACTTCATCCTCAACGCTTTTGGTTGGTCCACGGTATTGCCAACAGATCCTCCCCTCCTCATTGCATCCACGCTTGCAGGCCACCCTTTTAAAAAGGAAAAAAAGCTTCTCTGGATGAATTTCATTCGAGCTTTCTTTTGGCTTCTTTGGAGAGAAAGAAATCAAAGAACTTTCAATGCCAAATTTCTCCCTTACGAGCGGCTTTTTGATGCTATAGTCTATCTAGTTATTACATGGTGTAAAGGCTCTCCTCTTTTCCATCACTACAGTTACTCTTCCCTTATAGCCAATTGGAAGTGCTTCATGTAATCCCTCTATGAGACTTTTGTAATTTCATGTTATCAATGAAATTATTTCTTTCACAAAAAAAAAAACATCTCTAGATAGTAGATGACAAAATAGAAAAGTTTGTAATAAACAAACTTGTTTTCTATGGAGTTAGTTAACTAAAATATAACCTGAAATGTTTTTTTGTTTTGTGATGAAACCTTAAGTGTTGTATTCATGCATGTTCTTACTTAGTGATATAATATGATTTGTGATGTTTTCTGTTTTGTTGGATACTAGAGGAACAATGAGTGAATCTTTCATTAAATATGTGTGGACTTAAGAATATATAATTGTTAGTCTTGTACATAGAATAGAAACTCTCTAATACTAGAAGTTCCAAAATAAAGCTCAAGAGTGGTCACTGCTTTAATGGATAAAAAGATTCTGGACTTCAAGCAGTTGATTGAAATTTGAAGACTGAAAGTGTAGCAATAATTTAATAGGAAAAAAGTCTTGAAGGGATGCTGCAAATTCGATATCAAAGCAATGGTACTAAAGTTTGCCTGATGCTCATTGATTGAGCGGAATTGAAAGATTTTGGAAGCGAACGACAATATACATTTCGAGAGACTTTTCACTTCAAGGAGTGGACTATGATTTATCAGGCTTACATGAGAAAGAATGGGAGGAAAATTGCGGACTAAGTTCCTCCTTCCTATTTTTATGGTTCAAAAGTGTTCTAGTCTTTTCGTTCATGACTTAGTGGGTTAAGCTGTGTTTCTTGTTTTTAATTGTAGTAGGGTAACTGTCGATGAATCTTTGTAAATAAATAGGAGGATTAGTTAGTGAGGGCGGTTGACATTCTAGAACGAGAATCCAATAGAGTGTGGAGAGTTTTGTTTTATAAGAAACAATTTCATTGATGATTGAAATTACAAAAGGGAAAAGATTCCACAAAAAAGCCAAACGAGTTACAGAAAACTTCTCCAATTGGTTAGCAGAGAATTCATACTATGAGAAAGAAAAATAAGGAGACTCTTTACAGCGAGACATAGCATGAAAAATGATGTTGTCAAAAAGATCTATGAAAGGAGGTTCTTTGTTGTTGAAGAGCCTATGGTTCCTTTCATTCCAAAAGGTCCAAAGAAAGGCTCGGATAATGTGCTTCCACATGGTCTCTTTTTCTTCCTTGAATAGGTTACCCAAAAAACAAGAGTGAGCAGGGCTCGATGTCAAATGGGAGAGCAACCGACCAATCAAAGGCAAGGAGGATCTTGTAACAAAAGTTTGTGGCCACAGTGCATGTGTGGAACAGATGAGAAGGTGACTCCCCATCTTTTTTGCAATGCAAAGTATGCACCAGTGGGGAGAGAGTGATGAAGGAGAAGCCTTCTTTGCAGCCTATCTGAGGTGTTAACTCCTTTAAGAGCAAGTTCCCAGATAAAGAACTTGATTCTTTTGGGGTATTTATCTCCCCATATGACTTTGGCCAGAGATGGGTGGAGGAAAGAGTTCTTCGGAGCCATGTCTGCGAGAAGTTATTTGGTGGAGAAAGTAACCTTTGCTGTCCAGAGGCCAATGCCAAGAGTCTTCACCCATGCAGGGTTGGGTGGCTTCTAGATTGCTTGATAGTGAGGCCCAATCTAGAATCTCTTCATCCTTTAAGTGTCGTCTAAAACCCATATCCCATAAGCATAGGTTTGGATTCCATGTCTCCTTAACAGATGCTGTTTTTCGGAGGGAGATGGGATGGAGCCGAGGGAAAGATGATGCTAAGGACGATTCTGATAGCCATGTATCATACCAGAAGGATGTGGAAGCTCCATTTCTAACACGGGAGAAGATTCTGTCAAAGATTAGGTATTTCTGTTTGTAAATGTTCCTCCAGGAACCATGGGCGAAGTGTGGAGAGTTGGAAAGTCCTCTCAAATTATCTTTCTCCTGAGTTGTTATTTCTTTCTGTATTTCTCGATTTGAATTGCAAAGATACTCATCAGACTCTTGTTCTAATTCCTAATTGCTATTGGGCTACTACTTCAAACGAACACATGAAAATTTTCAAGTACTTCAGGGAAAAAAAAGTGTTTTTTTTTTTCAAACACGAATTTCCAAATTGTCAGGTTGGTCGAACTTTTGCTCATGGTGCCTGGATTTTTCTTTGTAGATGTCCAAATTCTTTACATCTTGAAAATATTGCTCTACATTAATTTTTGTTCATAGTGCCAGGATTTTGTAGTACTTGTGATTTAAAAACTTTCATTATTAGCCTTTTTCATTTGATTAAACATCTCTACCTATGGTGAGGACAACTACAATTCGACCCGGGAAGATATTTATAGATATGACATATGAGCTCGTGGCAAACACTTTCTTGATATGAAGATCTGACCCGTGACTTGGTTATTATACATAAATTTAGATTGAGTCATTTGTTTAATTCCTCCTAGAGTGTAATTATAAATGGCTTGCGACATTATATTTTGGTTACTCCTTGTCAATAGAAAAGATATCCATTAAATGATAGACAATAAAGAGACTTGTAAAAGCATAAAAACTAAATTATAACTATGGTGAAGGTTAAACTTCTAGGTGGTGCTCCAATCATATAAAATTCTTTTGTAATTATAGCCTTCTTTTTGAAAGACTTTTACAATTTAGTTATTTCGGGTGGGCTTCCTCCACCCGGGACTTTAGGCTGTTCCCTCTTCCCATTTGTTCGAAAACTAATAAAATATAACGAAGCACTTGGATTAGACATGTGATCTGACCTTAATGAAAGTACTTGCTATTGCAGAAAAAAAAAGGTGCAAAATCAGCATCACTAATTATTTGCTTGATTGTTTCAGGAGGTAACTGATACATCAGGAGGGTAAGTTCTAAACCATGAATGATTCAAATATTACGACGTACTTTTACTGTCATTTTCCCCCAAGTCTAAGAGTATTTCTGTATCCATCAGATGCGGGGCGAGTTTCGTTATCGACATCGTGTCGGGACAATTTGAAGGGAAAAGGTTGCTCGAGCGGCATCGGTTGGTGAATGCCGCTCTGGGGGAGGAAATGAAACAGATCCATGCTCTCTCCATTAAGAAAGCTCTGACCCCAGAACAATGGAAGCAACAGAAAGAATCTGAAAAAGAGAAATCAGAATCTGCAGCTTAGAAATAACAATGGTTTATATAAGTATGTTATGAGAAAGTGATGATAGATTTAAATAAAAGCATACCAAATAGCTACTCAAGTACTGATCTAAGTCTGATTCTGTGTATGAAACCACTTCTGCTTTTGAGTTTGTTGTGATGCGGCATCTTCAGATAACCACGTTTGTTTTGTAGGAAAATTTATAAGGATATCCGGGAAAATTTATAAGTGGATGCCCTGAACACGAGAATCTTGGAAACCCGTGTTTCAAAAGGGCATCCAAAACTTGTAAGATGTCTTCCGTATGGGCATCCTAGGATACCCGGACATCTCAACATCTTCGGGTACCTTACATTCCCACAAAACAAACGTGGGAATCTAGATGCCTGTCCAACGGGAATCTCGGATTCCCACAAAACAAACGGCCCCTAAGGACTGGGGATTTACTTGTCTTTGTATCGTTCCATTCGATCTTTTAGGTCCCTACTTGACCTCGACGGTTATGCCACGATGCATTATTGTTGTTATATTAGACTCAAAGGATCGTTCTTCAAAATTTTGATCGTTAGTTTATTTAAGGTTCTCACACTAACATGACAAAGCGTGCGTTCACGTCGACGATATTATTTTTTATTATAAAAATAATAAAAAATAATGATAACCATTTGGTTTTCGGTTTTTGATTTTTAGTTGGGATGGTTGATAACTAATTCAATTTTCTATTTTTTTAAAAAAAAACGATTTTTAAATTCTATGTAGATTTTGAAATTCGGTAGATTTAAAAAAAAAATCAAATAAATTTTCATTTTTCAAAATCTCATTTTTTTTCTAATACTCAACTTTTTTTTTCTTTGCATATATACTCTAACACATTTCTTTCTCAGTGTAAATTTCTTAAATATCTCTCTAAATATTTTATTTTTCTCCCTCAAAATTTTAATATTTTAAATATTTATCATTATTTCTCCCTTTCTCCAAAATTTTCATCTCTATGTATTTTTTTTTCTAACCTATCACTCTCATTTAATCTATTTTCCATACGAATAGTATAGTAATTGAAACACTTTTTTTTTTTGCTATAAATTTCTATCAATTCACTACGTATTATGTAATGCAAATTTATTGTTGGCAAATTTTAATATTCACTGATGGGGAGAGATTAAATTGAAAAAACTTCTAATAAAACATATATTTAGCCAAATATTTTTATGTAAATTAGGGCATGTTTGAGAGTGATTGTAGATTGATTTTAGAAAATAGATAATTACAATTGATTGTGTTTGGTTTGAAGTGATTTTCATGTGATTATAATTGATTTTAAATTATTAATATTTTATTTCAAAGGCGATTTTAGAAATTCCAAATTCCTAAAAAGTTTTCTTAAATTTGGCTCAACAAAGAATCAAATATCACCCATAATGGTTTCACGGCGACCATTATGGGTAATATTTAAACACAAATAATTAAATAATTAAAATCCGTATATATTCTTTTCAATTTTGCTCTTATTTCTCTTTTCATTATTATATATGTTTTTACTATGATTATATATTTTTAAAAAAATCTACAACAAGATAGACAACTATATATATATATATATATATACTTGGAATCAATTTAAATTGAATTAAAAATAAACTTGAATTTACTAATTAAGAAAATAATCTTGTTTATGAGATAATATTGGTGTCAATGATCTATTCGAACATATAATTAATACGACTGTATTTAATGGGATTTGAATGCGTAAAATTAATTAATTAATTTAAATGATCAATTATGTCAAACTTGGGATTTTTTATTTTTATCACAAATTCTCTCCAAAAAGACTGGGATATAGTTGGATAAGATAAACAGAAGGAACTCGATTCCAATTATTTTGGAATTCCCATTCCTAAGTGGATATTTGTATCTCAGTTCCTATAAATAGTTCTCAACACACAGTCCAAAAAAAAAAAAATCACTGCTCTCAACTTTATTTCGCAGCAAATAAATGGCGGTTTCGAGTAAATCAGTTGTCGCTCTCACTCTCCTCTACTCTTCCTTCATTCTACTTTTTTCATTTGTTTCTGATGCTCGTCCGCTCAAGCTTTGTATGTTCGATGCGATCTATCAACTTGGTGACTCCATATCTGATACAATAAACCTAATACGCGAAAATCCAATGACTCCATTCTCTCATCTTCCTTATGGAGAAACTGGCCGCTATTCTAATGGCTTGCTAATGATAGATCAATTCGGTACGTGATTTCAAAACAACGAGTTCTTTCTACTAATTTTCAGGTTAAAATAATAATATGGCCGCTGTTTTACTTAATTCACTGCAACAATCCGCAACTTCACGTGGCCTTTTCAAAATTTAAATTCATATTTTATCTTTCATTGTTTTATCGCTTTTCTATTCATGTAGGTCTGCTTTAGGTTATATACTTTCTTCAATTTTCTAATGTTTGCTTCTTGGAAATAAAATTAATCAACATTTTTCTTAAATGTTAAATTACTTTCTTTCATTATATTTTGTTTTCTTTTCATATTATTTTAACTCAAATTTATCTATATAACCTTCTAAAAATATCAGGCCTTACATCATCCTCTCATTTTTCCTATATCTTACACGTCAACATTCAATAAATTTTATCGTTTTAATAATTACAGCTTAGGCGGCTAGACTCCCTTTGATAAACCCGTATTTGAACAAAGAGGCATCAACGGCTCATGCGGTAAACTTTGCAGTGGCTGGCTCTACGGCTTTGCCTTCTGAAGTTCTTACTCTAAACAAGATCTCATCTCCCGTCACCAACACATCTCTATCCAAACAAATTGATTGGATGTCTACTCATTTTAATACTATTTGTTATCGTCAAAGAGGTTGGTATATACTGCATCTAATTTAATTTAAATGGAGTACACGTAGTCCATGTTGAATTTTTTATTTTTTATTTTTTATTAGATTAATCTCTTACTTTCATGTCCATCTTAAAGATTGCATCCAAAAGTTAAAGAACGCTTTGTTTTTGGTCGGTGAGATTGGAGGGAATAATTATTACAATTATGCTCTATTCCAAGGTAAAACTGTTAAAGAAGTTCAAGATATGGTTTCCCGTTGTTCAAACTATAAAGGAAGCCGTCACCGTATGTTATTCTTAATTTTTTTTTTCGGTAAGAAGTATATATTCATTCCTTTCTTCCTATGTAAATTTATTATTCTTCTCTTTCATAATTGCGTGTTTTGCAGAGAGTCATAAGTTATGGAGCTACTCGAGTTCTTGTTCCAGGAAACTTTCCAATATGTTGCCTACCAATCTATCTCACCGGATTTCAAACTAAGGATTCAACTGCTTATGATGAGCTTCACTGTTTGAAAGATTTAGCAAACTATCACAATAAACATCTTAAACATGCTATTAGTTCGTTAAAAAAAGAGAACCGAAATGTAAATATTATATATGGTGATTATTATAATGCACTCTTGTGGGTTCTACGACATGCTTCATTACTTGGTATGATTCTTTATTATGTACTCTTTACGCCTAGCTATATGTTAATTTAAGTACAAAATATTATATATCTAATAAATTTGTACCATCTCTAATAGGATTCGACCAAACATCCTTGCAAAAGTCTTGTTATGGGATTGGAGGTGATTATGATTTCAGCTTAATGCAAATATGTGGACTTCCTGGAGTACCAATTTGTCCAAATCTAGATGAACGAATCAGTTGGAATGGAATTCATTTGACACAAAAGGCTTACAAATTCATGGCATATTGGCTCATTCACAACATCTTTCCGAAGCTTCGTTGCATAGTTTAAAATTGTTTTTGTTTTTTTTTTTATTTTAGTTTTGCTTTCGAATATATTTTTCTTCTTTTAATTTGTTTAGCGAGATAGACAAGTATGGTGTTTATTCGATTTAACCTAGTATACATATTCTCTCTCAGTCTCTCTTCTCAATTTCAAATGTTTGTGAACTATCCGCATGAGTATATGTGATAACATTTATGGTTATAAACGTTTTAGGAGTGTCAAAGTGAGCATAGTTCAGTGGTTTTGTGAGTTTGGTCGCCCATTCTACATGTTAACAACATACTAGTAAAAAATGAGATACTTTTGACAAAATTATAAAAACAAAAAAGATTAGATATGGCATAATTGGCTTATCCATATATTTTTATGGGAGTTTCTGCCACTTTGGACAAAATTGTGCTTGTAACAAAATCTTTTTTTTTTCATGCTCCTTTTTAGGAGCTTTTTCAGCATCCAATCTATATATAACTCAATCAAAATTTTTTCTTTTATTTCAAAATCATTAAAACTAGATACACCTACAGAGATCATGGGTTTATAAATGAGGGACGACCAAATACAAAACAAAGCCACCCAAAGTGGACCCTATCGAAATTAAATATACGTGAGATAGGAATTTCCTTTTTAGGCCGTTTGTTTTGTGGGAATCTGAGATTCTCGTTGGGCCCATGTTTGTGTTGAGGGGATGTAGGATATCCGGGAATCTTGAAATACCCGGGTATCCTAGGATGCATATATGGGGTATCTACGAGTTTTGAATGCCCTTTTGAAACATGAGTTTTAAAGATTCCCGTGTTGAGAGCATCAACTTTTTACATTTTTGCCCTTCATTTTTTTCTCCATATATTTTCTTTCATCAAGTTTTTTAATTTTTATTCAAAAAATTCGTTATTTAAAATTTATAAATTTATAATTAACATAAATTAATGTACTCCATCGTTTAACTGATGCTATTAAGTATATTTGTACATTAGATTTACATATAAAATAAATAGCAATTAAATTATATAATATCATCATATTTTTTATATTTTGAAGAAATTACATTATTAATAATATTTATTATCATAAATACATAATTTTAAAACAACATTAAATAGAATGTGATGATAGGATAAATAAATTTCACCAAAGATAGCATAAATTATATGGTTGTCTTTTTTGGAAAAAAGTTGAAAATATTAAGTTAATATGAATTAATTTTTTCTACAAAATAACATATAAAGAATAAAAAAAATTCAAATAAATCTATTATATTAAATGAATTTATAAATTATATAATTATTGTATTTTTTAACATTATATAAATTTAACACATTCCCAAGAATAAATCATTCAAACTAAACGTGACTATCCAAATATTTTTGGATATCATTATAAATTTTCCTAACAAAATAAATGGGGAATTTATGCCTAGAACCTTGGAACTTAAGATTGTCTTTTCGTTGCTCAAGCCACCAATTATGCTAATGTGGGATTGAAAATCTGAATTTATGCCTAAACCTTGGAACTTCTCAAATCTGCTCATGGCACTTACGACCCGTTTGACAACGTTCTCGTTTCTTGTTTTTCCTTTCTAATTTTCTTAAGAAGTCCAAGCATTTTACACGTAACTTTGGTTTTTGTTTCTCCATTTTTGGAACATTCTTGTGTATAGAAATTTTGGAAACAACCAAAATAAGTTTCTTCATTCTTGTTCTCCCCATTTCCAATTTGTTCCAAAGAATAAATGAAAAGATTGTTTTATCA